CAAATGGACTTAGTGGACACATACAGAGTGTTCCACCCAACAACATCTGGATACACATTCTTTTCAGCTGCACATGGCATGTTTTCTAAAATAGACCATATACTAGTCCATAGGTCATATTTATGCATATGCAAGAAAGCAGAAATTATCCCATGCATATTATCTGACCACAGTGCAATAATACTGGATACTAATGACAAAAGAAACCACAAAAACCCCATAAGTATATGGAAGTTAAGTAACACCCTCCTCAGCAACCAATGGGTTACAGATTAAATTAAAGAAGAAATTAAACAATTATCTACAATCCAGTGAAAATTCAAGCACAATTTACTGGAATTTGTGGGATACAATGAAAGCAGTTCTTAGAGGGAAATGTATAGTGGTGAACTCACACATTAGGAAAACCGAATGACAACAAATAAATACCCTAATGCTACACCTCAAGCTTCTAGAAAAAGAAGAGCAAAACTAAGATCAAGATATTTTTATTTATTTAGTTAGTTATTTAGTGGTACCAGGGACTGAACTCTGAACCTTGCATTTGCAAGGCAAGCACTTATGCCACTGAGCTACCTCCAAGATCAAGGTATTTTTAGAGAAAGCTAGTTTTTGAAAGATTTCACTCTGATAAATTGGCTTCTGGCACCCTCCTTTACATATGCGAAGGGCAAGTCTGGGCAAGAACCATCAGCTCAAACCTAGAGTGATGAACTGGCTGGCCCTTCTGATTTCAGGGATAACTTGTAAAATCTAGCACTATCCAATATCCACACAGGCCATTAACTTCATACTGCCAGCACCTAGTAGGCTCCTGATCCGATGACTTTAATCCAATCAACTGACAAATCAGTATAGCAAAGTAATCTACAGTTTCAACATTTTTGCTTTTCATTCTATCAGTAAGTTAAATCAGTAGTCACAACAAACACTAAGCTTGACTGGGTAGAGGGACAGAGGTCAAAGAAACACTCCCTCAGGAATAAAAGCTACGTACTCTGGCTTTGTCAAATTGTGCAGCTGAGGTGCAACAAGTCTCTATACAATTCCACAGACTTGTGAGACCCCTCAAAATTGCCCTTGAGTTGAGGCTGAGAATGCACAGTACAAGAATGACCAAGTGCGGAAACTTAGGAAAAGTGGGTGTAATGACAGGCAGAAACATCTGCTAGAGGGTGAGGCGTGAGGGCAGGTGAAGAAAAGGCAGGGACTCCTGACCTGAATAGAGGGCTGTCAGGCTCCACATCCTACAATCTCACTCCAAAAGAGCTCACTAAATCTTTACAGAATTCATCCAACAAAACAGAACAGTTGTTACATGTGTGTCCCCTTCATGTTAAAGACAAGAAAATTAGGATCTGTATTAGTTAAATCAATTGCCCAGGGTCAAATACCAGCATATGGCAGACTGAGACTCAAATCTTCATGTTATTCTATAACACACCATTGGCTATAAACAAGAGAAAGACTTCAGGGAAGACAAGAAAGGAGGAAAAAGCAAGAAAGAGAAAGAAGGCAGCTGGGTGAGGAAAATAGCAAAACATAAAGAGAAAAACAAGAAACAAGACAACACAGAGGAAACTTAATGGAAAATAAGGACTGTATCATCTTAGATATAAAAATAAACCTGCTCCAACTTTTAGCTGGTCATAAAAAAGGAGTAGAAAATTATCCTCTCAAACCTCAAGACCTAGATGATTACTTGCATATTCAGATTGTGACAGCAGTAAAGAAAATACTAAGGTGGAAAGAGCCAAGGGAAGATGTCACAGAGACCTCCCCCCATAAAGGGGGGCAACTGTGGAAAGAACCTCACATATCTGCCCTCATTAGTACAGGAGCCAAAAGCATGAGAGGAAAGCACACAATTACAGTTTTCTAAAACTTAAGCTGAATAACAATCCTTGCTTCTGGTGGGCATTTTGACCTTTTTATAAATGGAGTTAAAAGCTGACTGGGTTGAAGTCAGTTGGCAAACATGACTTTATTAACGTTGGTTTCTCTTCACACAAAACAAGAGATGTTGAAATTGTTACCCATGGAAACTGTAAGACAGCTTAAGCTCCAGTGGGTTGATTTTGTGCAAAAATATAGAACATTCCCACAGAGTAACCTCCAGCCTAAAAGGAAAATCTGACTTGACACCAAAGCAAAAATCCAGCGAGAAGCACCAAAGGGAACAATGTCCCCAACACTGCAGACAACCTCTGGAAGGAAAACTGACTATCAGGAGTTCCACTGTACACATTGTGGGCCTCAAAAAAGTTTCTAAAAAGCAAATTTGCCCAGGAATTGCCCCCTTTCCACCAGCCAGTTTCCCAAAGGGACTCGAAAGCAGAGCATGGCGGAGTGTCAGCCCTGGCTGCAAATGCAGTGACGCCGCCAGGGCTGGGTCTAGGACCTTTCTGGCAAGAAGAGAGTCAGCACATCCTAGATGCTAGGTGCTCCACCCAGAGTCCCCCAAGTCCTTTCAGAAAAGCACAAAAGATGATGCTGAGGACTTGACGGGCCCCCAAGGGCAGCCAAGAGGAGAAAAAGTACATGAGATTGAAGAGATTGAAGAGATTCACTCTCTCCTGCGAAGAGGAGTCTTCTACACAGCAGGAAGTCGGATGTCAGGAA